CTCCTGATTGGCTGGTGGGCGTAGCTTGTGGGTGGGGTGGAGTGGTGGAGTGATAGAGTGATGGTTAATTTGCATCTTTCTCTTTTATTAGTGTAGGTTTGCTTCTTTGCTTAGTAGCATAACTTGTCCAGCTAGGAATTCTGGGCAGCAGCCAAGTGGACACATGTAGTTGACATCTCCAAAGGAAGCAGTACCCTAGAGAATACTTTGTAAAATACTGATCCTTATAAAATTTGTCAAAGACATTGTCCATTGTTTGCTTTCAGATGTTTCTTACATTGCTCGTGTGAGTTTTCTTCTTTGTTCTTTAATTTGGTACTACGGCAAACCTTTCTCTCTCCTGTAGAATTAGTTTCCTTCTTCCTTCCTGATTCCAAGAAGGGCAACCTTTCCTCTTTACCCTTATCAGAAAGGTTGCAACTGAAATTGATGCTCAGTTCAACCACTGTAATATTTCTTATGGTTAATATATTTGTAGCCATCTTTTCATTAGTCCTGATTTTTTATTTCTATTTTATTCATCTTATTATATTTATCCCCTTTGTCATAGGCATTTCAAATCCTTTTGAGAAAGAAGTGAAATATTAAAAATATAAACAGATATAAATGAGAATATAATTAATTTATAATTTAATATAAATTTTATTACTTTATGAAAATGTAATATAATATAAATAAATGTAAATATATAGCAAGTACTATTATTTTTTCCAATAACTGAGACACCAATAAAATGGAATCAGTAAGGTACACCTCAATGAGTATTTGTATTTCATACAACTTTTAATGCATGAACAATATTATAATTTGATAACACCTGCACTTCTTTGTCAAGTAGATATTAAGTTGTATGATAAATATATGTGTTAGTTTTCTGAATACAGTTTTAAACACTAGTTTATGCTATATTCCTTTTTTTTTCTTTCCAGAGATGAAGATAATCCCTACGCAACTTCACTCTATCATAGCTAGATGATGCTATTGCACCTGGATTAAGAGATAATTGAATCATAAGGAAACCAACAACTGAAGATTCAAAAGCACCTCTTTTGGATTCTCAGAGTGTACATCTTTAAATCACAATTAAGTAGTTCCATTGCAGTTGCACTGAAGTGATTGGTTCCCTCTGGCTTTCTATAATTTTAAGTCTGCATTATGGCATGATAACAAAAGCTCATCACTTTTGTAGGTGCTGGTAGTTTTTAAACTTGCTTTTGTAAATACTAGTTGACATAAAGCATCAAAAACTACTTACATAGTCAAGCTAAAAACATTGGTTTATCTCTTGAGAATTCCTAATTATGTGAAAAACATGGTTGCTGTTTGAGTGGTGCGGACATTGCTATGTGTTTATAATTAAGTGCTATATATATATATTTCAATATGTATTACATATTCTGTATTAATATAGAGAACCAAATTTTGTCTGCTATTTTGTACAAGTAAGCTACCAAAGTCTGAAAAAATAAACTATGTTTTTACATTTGAGTCTCCAATTTTTTTAACAAATGAGAAATTTTTTATTTTAAGTTATATTTTTGAAATAGTGACAGCTTTTCCTCTACTTTTATGGTTTTTTATTATTTTAATTGCAATTTTGAAAAGTTTCAGTAATCTAAAAACAAATCAATTGCAGTTACTAGTATCCTATGCACTCTCATAATATTTGACTTAATGTGTTTCACATATAGTGAGAACATGGAATATGATCAATAGAAGAAAAAAGCAATATCATGGCCTGACACATTGATGACTTTTAGTTTAAATTTCATTGATTAGTCACTTTATAGAGTGTTTTGTAGTCACTGAATGAAGGGTTTGGTTTTTATAATTTCAATTGTTTTACTTTTATTATACGTATAGATTACAGCAGGAAACCTTAAGCAATACATTCTTTACAGTTAAATATGTTTTCGTCTCAATTTCTATTCAAATGCTGAGTTAAATAAATCTTTAAGCTTTCACAAAATTCCTCATATTTATTCCTTCCCAACATCCCAAAAGGGATCTGCTTTTTGAGGGACAAAAAGGACCTTTATTTCTTATCTTTCCCCCTTTCTTTTTCCTGACTTTCTTCTCCATCTTGCTCCTCTAGGTCTTCCTTCCATTAAGCACGAAACTGTGCCCTTAAGTGCCAATGCATCAGAGCTCACCGAACCAGAGTTGCACGTGTCCAACCCATGAGGCATGAATGGGAAATGGTAGCTGTTTGTCCTTGTCTTGAATTTCTTGTTTGTTCACAATGTACATAAACCCTTGTGTGTTTATTGTTTTTTTTTGTTTGTTTTTTTTTTTTTTTTTTTTTTCCCTTGTGTGTTTATTGTTATTATTATTTTTTTTAGAGAGAGAAGGGAGAGGGAGAGAGAGATAGAAACATTCACGAGAAAGAAACATTGATCAGCTGCCTCCTGCACGCACCCCCACCTGGGGACTGAGCCTGCAGCCTGGGCCTGTGCCCTGACTGGGAATTGAACCAGTGACCTCTTGGTGTCTGGGATGATGCTAAACCAACTGAGCCACACCTGCCGGGTGTATTTTGGTGTTTGTTTGTTTTTTAATCTCATTTTTTCCCTCATTTTAAAAAATGATAACATCTCGTTTTTATTTCTTGTTTTTTTTTCTCATGTTATTATCATCTATAATAGAGGGTGATCTCTTGATCATGCTTTGCTGTTTTCTTGTATCCTATTACCTGAATGATATGGAGTTAGTTGGAAGAGGAGAAAACTAAAAGAATAAATGAAGGAAAACAGCTGTGTATATAAGACAAAGCTCTGGCCTCTATGGAGGCCCAGGAACTTAAAAAATGTAAAGTTATCATGCTGTTCAACATAAACTTATCTGAAATATGAGAGTAACCCAAAATGCATAAATCCAAAAACATTATCCAAAGGATATAACATAAGCTGAAAATTGAAATTAAGACCACAATCTCAAAAACAGTTTTCTGAGTATTTTATTTTTGTGTAAGGGTCTCTCTTAGCAATTTCTAGCCAAAACATCTCTCTCCTTTTTCAAGTTATTAAAAACTTTGAATTGTGGCTGCAGTAAAATTGCCCTGGACGGGCGTTGTTTAGTCCTTGCCTGCATGGGGAATCACTGGAAGAATGGACTGAGATAAGAAACCTGGGTTCTAGGTTCAGCTTTACCACTCCCTGGCCATATGAGTTTGAGCATATCTTGTGCCCATGTTTATGTTTTGCAAACCAGTTTTCTTACCTATAAAATAGGACTGAAGATCTCCCTTTTGTCTTGGGTATCAATAGGAGCTAATGAATGTCTGTGGGCTCAGAAAGTTACAATAAACTCATGAATTTCTTATTTTTAAAAATACTGCAGCTATTTAGATGAGTTACAGAAAAGCAAATAGGTAAAATGCTTTCATCACAGCAAGTTTTTTTCTCTCTGATGTAGAAGCAGCCCATTTGGACTACAGGATATGGGGGAAGTAGAGTCAGTCACGTTACCAAGGATGACATTAAAACAAGTCTGATTCATCATGCTTTGGCAAGTGTAGTTTGTGCAAAGGTGTTTTTAGTTTCCTCTCACCACTTACCAATGAGTATTGGTAAGTAAAGAGTTAGAATAGATTACGTAAAGAGTTGAGGTTTTTTGGCATGCCAGACTTTGGTTTTCCTTTATTTTTGCAACTCTAGAGAGGATGGGAGGAGCAGCAGGGGTCTCCTACCCTGAAAACAGCCTCTTCCATTTTCCCTTAAGTTCCCAGTCCTTACCAAAAAGTAGATGCCAAGGAGGGGCATTTAAGACCAGTATCAGACGGCCTTTTAAAGTAATGGCAGCTATTACAGAAAGCATTATGTGATTTTTATGATTTTTCAACTGAAATATACAGAAAAATATGTAATTTATGCTGCATAACCCATTTTCAAAGCATTCTTTGCTTTGGGAACATTCTCCACTAACATTTCAGGAGGACCCTGGGTGAGTTGTGGTGGTGGCTGAGGAAGAGGATTTGCAGGGACCAGAGGTTTGATATTGTTTTCCTCCAGTGAACCTCAGCTAACCAGCTATGGTTCACAGGGAAGGAAATGATTTTTATCTCTGTTTCTACCGCGCCGTCTGGCCCTCTTGCTCTCTGCTGAGAAATCCTGGCTTGGATCAAATCCAGTTTAGAAAACTCAGAGCTGGCATACATTTTTACCTTACTTTATGTAGTGTTTATGACCTCATTTTCTGCCTGGAGAGTACATAGTTATCTCTCTTAAATTTTTTAAAAATTATTATTATTTTTTTACTGATTGCAGAGAGGAAGGGAACGGGAGAGATAGAAACATCAACGATGAGAGACAATCATTGATTGGCTGCCTCCTGCATGCCCCCTACTAAGGATTGAGCCTGCAACCCGGGCATGTGCTCTTGACTGGAATCGAACCCGGGACCCTTCAGTCCATAGGCCAATGCCCTATCCACTGAGCCAAACCAACTAGAGCTATAGTTATCCCTCATAATAAACAAAATCAATGTCTTAAAACCCACTAATAGAAAATATTAAGAGTGGGGGAAATTTGTTAATAAATCCAGAAAATCCTATGCCCATTTTTCAGGTTCCTTTTCATGCTATTCGGCCTGATACAGAACTAGCAGGAAGAGCCATAAGGAAAAAAAAAAAAAAAAAAAAAGGCAGCCTGGCTAGTGTAGCTCAGAAGTTGAGTGTTGACCCATGCACCAGGAGGTCGCCAGTTAGATTCCTGGTCAGGGCACATGCCGGGGTTTTGGGCTTGATCCCCAGTAGAGGGCATGCAGGAGGCAGCTGATCAATCCATCGATGTTGATGTTTCTCTTTCATTGATGTTTCTATCTCTCCCTTTTCCTTCCTCCCTCTTTTAAATCAATAAAAACATATTTAAAATAAGAGAAAGTTACCTATTAAAAAAATAAAAGAAAAAAAGCAGGTAGCTTCCTTCAAGCTATAGAGGCTTTGAGGGAACGTGAATTTATTTCAACCAAAAGGGAACTGGTAGTGAAAAGGACATTTTGTAACAGATATGCTATGAGGTGCTTTGGTAACCAGCATGCCTTGAAACAGAACCCCCACTTCTTCAGGGGGTGCTTATATGTGTGACACAGTAGGAAAAAGGTTCAGTTTTAAGGTCAGTCCATTACAGGCTTTTCCAAAGCAACCCATCTCTGATTATAAAATGTAAATCTACAAGGAAGTAAGGATTCTATATACAAAATCTCAGCTTACAACGTTACTTTTCAGATAGTTTTTATGGCAAGAAAGCTATGTCTTAACCACTTCTAAAAGGTTATTTACTATAAATCCAGCACTTTCTAACACTCCTTGGGTCAAAATAACTTTAATCACAAAATTAGGAGAGTTTTAAGCTATATTATGTCTTCTGAAACAGTGGAAAGACTCCTGGGCCATTTTGCCATTTTTACAGGCTGCTGTAAATACGCTTGATGGCATCGGCTTCTTCTTTATCAAGGATGCCTTTCTCCACATAAGCTTCCGTTTGTTGGTTGATGAAGTCCTTCATCTTCGAAAGGTCATAATCTGGAAAATATCATGAGGGCATCAGGAGAAAGACCAGGAAAGAGCAATCCCATTATAGTAATCACCATTAACCGAGACGCGTTTTGTATACCACCACCACAGCCATCCCTGTCTTTCACATCGGAAGGCATTTTAGGTCTTGGCATTTGTGCAGAGGTTTGCAGTTTAAAACCATGTGTATGTGTGTGATATTAGCTCATCTGCTCTCCAGCATCACACCTACTGGGTGATCAGGTCGGGAGTACCACCCTCATCTGACCACGGAGGGAACGGGCTTGGAGGCCAGGGCTTCACACCCTGACTGTTTGTACCAATCACCTGGGGCTCCTGGGAAGTTGCAGATTTGCATTCAGTTGCTCTAGGGTGGGGCCCCAGATTCTGCTTTTTTTTTTTAATTTAATTTTTAAAAATTTTTAATTACAGTTGACATTCAATATTGTATTAGTTTCAGATGTCCAGCATAGTGATTAGGCATTAATATAATTTATGAAGTGATCAACCCTGATAAGTCTAGTATCCACTTAGCACCATACATAGTTATTACAATGTTATTGACTATATTCCCTAAGCTGTACATCCCAGTGACTATTTTGAAACTGCCAATTCGTACTTTTTAATTCCCTCACCTTTTTCATCCAGCCACCTAACACCCTTCCATCTGGCAACCATCCATTTGTTCTGTGTATTTACAAGTTTATTTATTTTGATTGTTCTTTTTTTTTGGTTTTGGTGAAATAATATGGCATTTGTCTTTCACTGTCTGACCTAGTTCACTTAACATAATAACTTCTAGGTCCATCCATATTGGTGCAAAAGATAAGATTTCATTCTTTTTTTTAGGCCGAGTAATATTTCATTGCATATATGTGTATATGTGTACCACCTTTTCTTTATCCAATTGTCTATTGATGGACACTTAGGTTGTTTTCATTTTTTGGCTATTGTATATGAAATGTCCTTCTTTGTCTCTTAGTATAGCCTTTGTTTTAAAATGTATTTTGTCTGATAGTCTGATATAAGTATTGCTACCCCAGCCTTTTTTTTTTTCATTTCTATTTGCATGAAGTATCTTTTTCCATCCCTTTACTTTCAGTCTCTGTGTCTTTCAATCTGAAGAGAGTCACTTGTAGGCAGCATATGTAAGGGTCTTGTTTTCTTCTCCATTCAGCCACCCTATGCTTTTGATTGGAGCATTTAATCCATTTACATTTTAAGTAATTAATGATAGGTATGTAGTTATGGACATTTTATTGTTCACATTTTTATCTTTTTTCTTCTTCTTCTTAAGGAAGTCCCTTTAACATTTCTTGAAGTGCTGATTCGGTGGTGACGAACTCCTTCATATAACTTATGAAGTGATCACCTTTAGCTTTTCCTGTCTGGGAGCAGACTCTGCATTTTGAACAAGCTGCTAGGATGTGCTGATTTTGCTAATTTAGGACT